AACTAGTCAAAGTTCTCTCTCTCCTCCTCTCACTGACTATTGGCCTTATTGCTTTAGTATCAGAGCACCTTTCAATCTTCAAAGCATTAGTCTTGCCTCTCTGTGAGGTAGGGGATCCCGTGGATGTCAATTTCTTTGTTTACATGCAGTGACAAAAAGAGAAGAGAAAATTGGAGGGGAGGGGGAAGGTGCAGATTTTAAAAATATTGTTTTCTTAAAACTAAACTGAAACGAAGCTTTTAAATCAAGTTCATGTGGAAACTATTTTTTTTTAATGTTTCACTGTGGGAAAACATTTTTCAGCCAGATCTACTACACATGGATATGAGTATTTGTATTACTAAACCAATAATTTATTTCTAAATCATTTTTTTCTTTTCTGTATTTTAAATTATATAACATGGCAGCTTTTGGAGAAAATATTCACAAAATATCCTTTTTAGGCAAGGACTTTGGCTTTCAGCATTTTCTAGTTGCTGATACTATTTCTTACTACACATTTATTTTTCAGACCCAGAAGGAAATTCTCCTCTAACAAAAAATACCAGTATTCTTCCTATATTTTAAGATTTAAAATATTCTGAATTAGTTGGATAATAGTAAAAGGCCATAACTAGCATCACATCAGAAAAGCATAAATATCTCTGAATTTAACGTGCATTTATTTTTCTAGTTTCAATGATGAAGAAGTTTTACAAGTGAAACAGGCTGTGGACAGAGGCAACTTTCACCTGCTTTAGGAGGAGAAGAAGAGTTGTCTTGCATCTATTGTTACAATGTAATTATAATACTTGCACGCTCTTATAGCAGTTTAAGTGAGCTAAATCACTGTGACTTTAAACTTGTTATGGGAGTGTGCAGACACAGTACTGTATTTACCCAGAACCAAGACAGCAGCAGTTTCAGCTCTGGCTCTGGTACTTGAATCCAAGACAAGGATTCCTACTCTCCTAATGTTACATGGTGGAACAAACCTAATCTCAGTAGTTACACTGTAACAGCCTATACCTGTAGCATTCAATGCTAGTATGGCTCTTATGCCTGTCCACATATTCAGGCTCAATCTGAAAAAAAGTTTTGTTTAAAATATCCTTAACCTTTGTCTACTTTAGAGACGCAAGCATCAAATATAATACACATTTACATCAAACCAGGGCCAAAGCCTGATACTAAAAATGCACAGAAAGATTCCTTTATGTTCATGGAGCTCCACTGACTTCAAGTTCAAAGCCAATACTGCAAGCAGCTCCAAGTTTCAGTAGCCAAATAATAAGAATAATAATAGGAGAATTTCTTTCACTTCCAAATATTATTGTTGCCCTGCAATGCTTTAGACTCGCTTTGTGTAGGATACAGTAAGTTTCTGAGTTTAGACTAGCTCGTAACTTCCTATGAATTAATTTCAAAATAACTAAAAACCACTAATTTTCTGAAATACAGTAAAGAGGCAAATTTTACTAATTTTCTGAAATACAGTAAAGAGGCAAAAGCAACTGATGTATGATGGAAAGGTCTGGAAAGAAAAACAAAAGTGCAACAGGAGCAGCAAGCAATCATCAATTATCATAACAGAATAAACAAAGCAAGCAATATATGTTAGCTATACATAGTACCAATCATAATAAGAAAAATGCAGGGATTTATGGTGTGAAAAACTGTTAATCAATTATATGAATTTTCACATCTCTGATAAACTATTGTTAGCCACCCCTGAGAAATTAACTTCTCTCATGCTATTTAAGGTTAGGTTTCAGCAATAGATATAATGGTAGACAAGTAAACTAAGAATTTAACCTATTTTCCAAAACATTAAGCTCCTCAAAGAAAGTGACCATTGTGAAATTTCTTAATTTGACAAAGTTCCTAGCAGTGTAACCAACGTGACATTTCAAGTTTAACTATATATTGTTTACTCTTATCTGTAACTGCAACTATTCAAATTCTCACTTTAACAGACAGAATATTATGCATATACATCCCTCCATATTATCATAATTATATACCCACAAGAAGACAGACGTTTTGTCCATGAATAGTATACATCAAGTGCGTGGGAACGAATTGTTAAAATGGTTTTTAGGTTTCTGTAGGTGTAGAAGAATTTTTAAGCCATGGCAAGCTTTCTTGCACAAGCATTAGAGTTAAGATTAGAAATCCCAATCCCCCCACATACATGAAGTGTCAGAATTCAAAGCAAGCAACAAATCTAAGAGTTGGAGTAAATGCAAATTACAACGACGATCTAAAAATAAATATAGTAACTTCTAACACTGTAGAATGTTAATACATATCCTGTATGCGATACTTAGAAGCTGTTTTTCCAGTATTCTTTACATTCTGGAGGTAGCTGCATTAGAGGATGAAGAGATAACCACATCCCACTGTGAGATTTAACCTCTTGAACACTGACATGTATAAAAGCATGGTATGTGCAACCAAAAATAGTAAAAATTGAAGGTTTGACATGGATTCTATTTATGTGTCTATTCAATCTGTAAAAGCTTGTTATTTCATGTATTTGTTAGTGCATTGATTCTGTGAGTCAGTACAATAATCCTAGTATGCTCTTTACAACTATGGTCATACTAAATGACATTTTGTGACACTGGAGTTAATCTAGCTATACTGTTCTCACAATTGAATCTGTGTTATCCTAATCTTGAGGAAATTGAGTTTTCTGTTTTTGCAATGTAATGCAACTCAAATTCTGTGCTATGAAGTATAGAAAGCATTTTAGCTCATGCCTGTTCACTATATGGTGACATGTGAAATAGGAAATGTCAGTAATAAAAAGAAACAAAAAATCTTAATGGAAAGTACTCAAGTATTTTAGAGTTTTATATCATTTCAGAAAATGATTTATTTTTGTATGCTTCCTGATGTCTTTTTCCAAAAAGAATTTCTCTATTAGCACACCAAAAAAGTAACTGAAAGCAGTCAGTGTTCAATTCCTTATTATGAATCTCATGGAAATTCAATTCCAATAAATTACCATTACCACAAATTAAAAAAGACGGATGGTCAATTCTTCATATGGCTCATTCTTATAAGAAAATAAATGAAAACAAACAGTAAATATTTAAACAGTAAATATTTAAACTTTCTTTGTCAAGAGGCACTATATTATGTCACAATAATCTATATGTCTGTATCTGCTGGTAAAAATCATATTAATAAGTAAATATGGGGGGGGACATCTATTAAACCAAGACACTCTCTCAGAATATGTCAGATTTATTACATTCATTTTCAAAATTGTTTCTGTTCTGCAAGCACAGAATGAAGTTTAAACTATAGGAATTTAATTTAGATAAAGAGATTCACTTTTCTGCTTGTCTATTTTGTTTTTGTTTATAAATTAAACAAATAAATCTTTTTTATTTAAAGAACCCTCAAGAAGACAAGTATTTAAGTGCTCTTAAATGATCTACCCCAGCCACAAAGAAAGGGAGGCATACAACTCCATAGTACTGTGCCCCTTCAACTAAGACTGTAGACATTTTTCTAGAATTAGTAAGGATCTATGCGAGGGGAAAGGGCTAGGAATTATGCTAGCTCCTGTAGAAACAAGGCAGCCCTATGTTGGATACTGGTGCAGTCAGGATGATGCATCTCTGAAGATACCGTGAGAAAAATGCAGTATCTTTCATAGAGCTTCCTTCATGATAGATGCCCAATTTGGGAGGCTCTATGGGAAAGGTGTACTTAGAGCTCTTGGTAATGAAGCTCTACTAGAATGACTTAGCTAGGAATTGAGGGTTGCGGGCTGAAGAGTATGCTAGGAGCAAAGTGCCAACATGGAGGCACAAAATCTCCAAGCTAAAGGTCTTGTCCTTCCTTGACTTTTTGGGAATTTTACAGATTTAGGAGGAGTAGCCAATAATAACCTGTTTAAATTGAGCAAATGGCCACTCAAGGATAGAAGCAGATGCAGAACACATCTACTGGTCTTAGTTATACCAGTTTGTTTTATCCCTGATATTTCCTGCAGTAGCTCTACAGCAGATTCTAATAAGTTACACCAAACAAATAATATACATGTCCACTCCTTGTTTACACCAGTGTAAAGGCAGGTTTCACTGCTGTAAATATGTTATGTGTCTAGGCCCTTGGTCATGTAATGGGAGCATATCTAAAAATGTACAAGTTTGGATAACTAGGCGGCCATTGGACAATGTGTCTTGGTGACTCAGAAAATTGATAAACCTTGAATACCAGCATCCAAACCCATATGCACCATGTAAAGTGGTTTCTGGAGGAGGCTGAAAGTCACAATTTCACGTACATACCATTCCACGTAAAAATATTTCTCATAAAAATTTCCCTAATAGCTGTTCACAGTCTTTCTACTTATATAGTCAATAAGACATCTAGGAGATTTTTACGTGGAGGAGGAAGATTACTAATAATAAAGTTCTTAATATTTGTCTTTGTTTACAGTCCTTCCATCTGAAAGCCGAAGCATACAAACCAATCTTTGTAAACGTTCTTCCAGATTGACAAGGACCTGACCCCCCAACTCCACAGTTGAGATAACTGTAAATGAGACTTTTGTACAAGGGAAATTCCATTTCTCCCTTTTCTGTATCACAGCTCTCAAGAACAGAAAGTCAAAAGAAACCAGCAACTGGAAACATCTTCAGTAAAAAATTAAATAATGAATTTACAATATAGGAATAATTATTCAAAACTTAGTAAATGTAGTTTTTAGTTCATGAAGATTGTGTCTTATTAAAAGGACAGAAAATAAGAAGAAAATCAGGATATGCTGGGATTTCTATATTGGTCTCTCTCCAAAGATGGGATTTGAGATTAGAAGAGTTAAGCTATATTCCTAATCTTCAAAATCAACATTCATATACCTTTCATGGGAGACAAAGTTTTCCTGTTCGACTCTGAAAGAGATAGTGTCATACCTCACCTTGCCAACATTCTGCTTATGCTAGTAGGGATGGATACTCTAAATATGTGCAAAATAGTGAAACTGAAATCACACAAACCCTTGGGTCCATCATCCTTCTTGCTGCCATTATCCCGGATAGGATCATCAATACTGCAGTCTGTCCCTGCCCAGGTGAAATGACAAATGCAAGTGGCTTCATTACTGCACACCTGGAAGATGAAAAAAATGATTAATTTTGAGATACATTTTTATTATGGTTATGCAGTTGAAGATACTGTTTAAGTCACAAGATAACATTTACCAAACATGGTATAATAAGAGTAATTATCATTCAGAGTAAAAGAAATCACTAACAAGAACAACTGGTTTTATAGGTTTATTTTTTAGACTCCCTACTGAATACACTCACAGATGATGACAAAACAATGTGGAAAGTTTCAAAAGTAATTTTTCTTGGACAACTCACTTGTTCAGGGACATCAGAAATAGGATTCCTCTGTTATGCCTTTGCATGGGTTATTTTGATCTTGGGTCTTGGTGGCAAGAAGAAATGCGGTGCATGCTTCCTCATAAACAAAACTTGAAACGAAGCCAAAATCTAACCTAGGGCCATCCAATTGGCTGCCTGTGGGCCACATACATCCCTTAGGGGGTGAACATGAGGTCCCCAGGCTCCTGTCCAGCTGCTGCTGCCCTCACCACTCCTATGACTTAGGTGGCCAAAGTGACCAGGCACTCCCTCCCTCCTCCTGCTTCCGGCTCTATTTCTGGGAGTGGGGTGGGGCCAGGTGACAGGAGGGTATTGCATATGTAACGGTGAAATTTGGGCGGAGCACACTGCAAGCCCCAAGCCCTGCACACTGGGTCTGGTGCCCAATCCTAGCATGCAGAAACAAACAGGGGTGGTACCAGGCCCTCAGGACCCAATCCTGGTGTGAGAGGGGCACTAGACTCCCAAGACCCAAACCTGGCACAAGGGGTGGGGGGGGTGCCAGCTCCCAGAACCCAATCCTGGTGTACGTGGGGCGCGGCAGTGCTGCCCCCCCCCCCCCAAACCCAATCCCAGCAAGAGGGGGACAGGAGGAGGAGTGCCAGGCCCCTAGGACCTAATCCCATTTTTTTGGGACATGGAGGGGGATTTGCCAAGGCCTCATGGCCTGATCCCACCCACAGACGGACTCTATGCTACTCATCTGGCCCATGGGGCCAAAAGCTTGACCACCACTGGTGTTGCTGCACAAAAACAACTCTTATTTTAGAAAATCAAAGCTATATTTTCATAAAGGATCAGAGTCAAACAGGTGCTAACATCTCAGGCATAAAAAGGGGCTTCTCAAGCAGCCAAGACATTGTCAGTCAGATAATGATGTCCCCTGGAAGGATGTTGGTCTGTGATATCTATATGCTTCAGATTAGACTTGTTGCTAGAAGCTGAACTTACTTTGCCTCCTGTAGCCTTTTTGGAGCATACCTGAATGTTTGTTTCTATTCCCTATTTCTGCTGCCTCCAAAACAAAAACCCAAAATTTTCTAGACCTCTTACGCTCTCACAGACCAATAGTTGGCCAAAATGCAACACTTGCATTTGTCAAAACAGGAGGTCTGCTGAATGGTTCAGGTGCAGCAATCCACATGTACACTGGGCCCTAGCTATAATGGGTATTGAAAGAAGTTTAGCTTGAAACAGACTTACCCCATGACCTGAACAGACCTTTCCATTAGATCCCATTGGACAGCTGCTTATGTTCAAGGACTGAATTGGTAGGCACTTCCTGTCTAAACACATCATGTGAGGGCCACATGGAGCTCCATCCTCCACATACCCTAAATCTGTATCATCGTCTAACAGCACATGACCACCCCTAGGGGAAAAAAAAGTTTTAAAATACTGTTTAATATTATGTTTAAAAGCTTTTGAAAACATTAAAGGCAACATAGCATAGATTCTAAAACCCTCGTAGCTCTATTCCTCCAAAGCAAAGTACATTCGGGAAAAATCCTGGTAGTCATAAATTATATCAAAATCTTTCCAGGTACCCCACAACTCTAGTACCATTTTGAAATGAAGCGTCTGTAAGATGGAAATGGATTCCAAATACTGCCATACAAATAACTGAAGTTTTTAAATTTCTGTCTAGATTTTTCATATCTATAATTGGTAGAACATAATTTTTTAAAATGAAAAAATGGTATAGTAGAAGATGTTACACATATACTCATATATTAGGCATATTTGAGAAATGTTTGATGCTTAAACAGTTACCTCAAATAGGGGGAGGGAGTAAAAATTCAGTTTAAATGATGGAACTAATAAATAAGAAACCAGAGAGAATAATGGCTATATTTATAAAAGAATTCTTTTTACTTTGTGTTTTTAATGCAATTACAGTATTATTTATCATTGTATTTTAAAAGAACACACCCAACATTTATGTGAAAGCACAATAAAATCCTTATCTGTCTTGTAACCACTTAAACTGTAACTACCCCAAATCCTACCCCAATCATACACATAAAATGAACAGCAATAGCTTTCATTGAAGTGGTAACATTCAAAAGCATGAAGTTTCACATGTAGATCTTTTCTTCTTTTAGCATACATCTTTTATTTTTTCCATGGAAGAACACTGTGATGCCAGACATTAAAGTCTGGCTGAGTAACACTGCAGTGTTAGATAACAGTTTCTGGACAGTATTCTGCAAACCAAAAAACAAAATTACAACACCTAAATGCAGAAAATTACATGATTCTTAATAAAAAGAGCAATGCCATCCAGAATAATGATTTTGCTTTGTATGAATTGACATTTAACAGTTTAACATTTTTTTCTTTTTTAATTTAAAATAACTAACGTAAAGCGTTGGTATAAAACTGTATTAAAGTTTTGAGAACACAGAATACCAGTCAATTTTATTTTTACCTGCAGTCCACTATTCGTCCCTGGTGGTAGAAAGAAGTTGGAGTAATTTCTCCCTGAAGCTGACCAATTCGTGGAACTTGAGTAAGATTAGTGCAAAGCAGAAAGCCACAGAACACATCACTGCAAAATAAAAACAAACAAAAAAAAAATCAAAGTTTCCAAATAAAAATTAATATATACAAGAATATTTGCAAAGAGAAAGAATGCTATGGTAAAAGTGATACAGACATGAAGCCAACAATATTACTTCAAAAGTACCTTAGAACCAGCTTCTGCCACTGGCAGTCATGTTAAGTAGGCGACAAGACCCTGGGCACATATAAGTCCCAGGGCTGGGGCTGACAGGAATTAGTTCTCAGGCAGCTGCCAAGGGAAGGAGCTCCTGCAAAAAAGAGCTATCCAGAGATGTTTGGTTACCAGATCTGCTGCCTGCAAGACTAATAGGTCTCCAGGCGCTCATAAGGTACCCAGGGCTAGGAGGCACACAATACTAAGGGAGAAATTTGCCCTCTTAAAGGGGCAGAGTGTGACCTCCATCATTATTGTTATGTTATAGTCCAGGGGCTTACGTTCATGTTGTCATTTGCATCAGAGATTTGGGATGAGGCTTAAAGGGGAGGTTTGGCAGCTTCATTAGTGCCCAGAAGGGGGCACATGACTGTGGAGAGCCCAGTGCCAGGGAGGCACAGCTACAGGGGCCGGAGAGCCCAGTGCCAGGGGGTGTGCAGTAGACAAGGGGCAAAGGCCCAGCGATGAGGAGATTGATTAAAGCTAGTGCCTCAAAGCCGGGCCTAACAAAGTGACTAGAAGGCCTAGCTACATAACAAGGGCTGAGGTCGAGTAGGCTGAGACCCCAGTAGAGGGAACAATATTCATATACCGTCCATGAGTTATGGGGTGTGGTAAAGGGGAGTTTTTGGAGCCAACCATCTAGCCCTTGAGGCTTAAGGGGTCCCGTGAGGCACCGACTCGGAGCAAGACCTGGCAAGGGATTCAAGAACCTACAGGCTTTAGGGGTGTTCAACAGGACCGTGGCCACACAAATTCATGGACAGCCTCCCTGCTTAAGTTTTTTACCAACAAGTCATGGCAAGTGAGATTAGAAAGTGTCCACAGGGCAGAGCTGGCATGGTCATGAAGCCCTAGGGGCATCACAGCCATCCCTGGGGCCCTGCACCATGACACATGTTCTAATTAGAATGCAACAAAGCAGACTCGATTAATTGAGCGTTCTAATTAGAATACTCCAGCAGCCTTGATGTCGCATGTATTCAGTGCTCCCACGTTTCAAAAAGGCAGGGGCTTTAAAGCGTGTTGAAAGAGCTTTAATTAAAGTGTCCCGCCACCATTTTGAAGCACAGGGCACTGAACACACGAGATGTTGTGGCTGTTTTAATTGGAGCATCTTCTGAGAGCCATTCCAACTAAAACGCTCCCCCACCCTAGAGCATGTATAAAGACACCCTTTGGGTTAGTGGCAGACATTACACAAACTGGTTTAAGTGATCAGAAACTGGTTTAAACCTGTAACAGAACGAATGTGCAGTGCATATAAACCAGTCTGAAAATGGCTGAAACCAGTTTGAGATATACCTGGTTGAATGCAGTATCAGGCTTAACTGATTTGGGTCAAACCAGTTTATGCAATGTCTGTCCCAGATACCTTGCTGGTCTAAGATAAAGCAGACTCCCCCAGCATCCTGGCATGCTCTCTGGGCTGGGCAAGGCTCTCTGTTCCACAGCAAGGCAGGCCCCTCCCCTCTGCTCCCTGGCTGCAGCTCCAGCAGAGACTTGCAGGCACAAAGTGTCTGTCTGGCTTCTCCCTGCTGAGCAGAGATTACTCCCCTCACCCCTCTGCCTTAGGCAGACACCTCAGCATTAGCTAGTAGACAACATGCTGGCTACAGTCCATGCTGTGGGAGAAAACAAAGGCAGACAGACTTTTTGGAGCTAATCAACATGTAGCTTAGTGACCCTTGGCTTCTAGCTTAAGCCACTGCAGGCATGCGCCTACATTTCTAGAATCAAAAGGGAATGTCTACCCACCTCCAAATCAGTTCAAGCTTTACAGGTTAGACTATTCTGCAAAGACTGACTCAATTCAGGCTCAGGCTTTTTGAATGTCTGTCCCTAGGCATAGTAACTGGCATTATCGGCTTCAGTGGTACTACTCAGTAAGTACGGTATTACTTGATTTAAGTAAGTGTGACAGAATCTGGCCCTAATGATAAATGCAGAAACAATTAGTTCATCAATAATTCAAATAGAAAGGAATATTTTCCCAGTGTTGTGTAGAAAAAAAATCACATTTAATTAAAGGGGTATTTATAAACTATATAAATATTATAAATACTGTAATAAGTATTATAAATATAAAATATATAATTTGAGTAAAACAGCACATATCAATTAAAAGAAGCATATATATATGCTTTAATTGATATGTATACAGGGACAAATCACATAAAGGTTTCCCTCACTTTATGCTGTACATGTATTCTGGCAAAGTGGCGCATAACTCTAATTTGAATAAAGGGAGCTCATTTTACAATGTAACAAATATGGATACGTTCCAAGACCTCAGTTGTACTGACCCCCAGACCCATTTCTACCACTTTTACAAGATGATTCTGGTACTCACCAACAGCTGACAGTACACATAAGCACAGGGCACTATCATAATGGGGATGGCAACTATAGAAACATGTTGCAGACAACGAGCAAGGAGCACAGATCCACACAGGAGACTGTATTTTGGTGTGTGTCACTTCCACAATGTGTGACATAAAGCAGCTGACTACAGGCTTCCACCACACTGATTGCATAAGGGTGAATTTACCTCGTATATAATGAATTTTTGGTATAAAAAGCGTCATCACATAAGAGCAAATTCACACATACAGAACCGAAATAAAGCGAGGGAAACCTGTACCACTTTTGCTATGCTGCATTATATTGTCCTTTTCTGGGGTAGTTTGGATGATCTACGTTATTGATGCAGTTAGTATAGGTTTTTAAATTTATTCTCCTTCTAGTCATACTAGAACCATAATTGATAAGAATCAATAATGCTCAGGGCATATTATGGAAATCTTAGACAGATTACCTGCTGCTACTTTATATGACTAATAAACAATTGTCTATCAGCCTAAAATGGACTTCTCTTGTCTACCCAAAATTTCCATGAAGTCACAAATAGATGATCATTGCAAACAGTATTTGTGAACATTTGCACAGATTTCAAAGAGATATTCAGTTTGACCACATTTGTGTTTCTCTTTATTTGTTAAATGCAAACCATTATACAACTTTTTCATATAAATTTTGGAAGAATTGCTATTCTTCATATGCGTACTCTTACACATTAAAAAATGTATTCAGTTTTTGTTATTCTGATATTTTAAGCTTTAGTCAAAGTAGAAAAGTAACCACATATGAATTTTGCAAACTGATGAGTGAAATATTTTTGTTCTTGAAACTAGTGAGAAAAAGAAAAAAAAATGAGGATTCAAAACCATGGAAAACAGACAATGGAAATGCTCAGTAAAATGAGGGGAAATATTGGGCTACTTATACTCAGCCATGGAATTCAAACAGTATGTATGAAGCTGAACTTACTGTTTGCTGCACTGAACCCATCGGTTTCCATCCTTGCCACAGTTCCCTTTTTCTGTACCTTCTGTATTAAGCTTCTCATAACAGAATTTGTCAGATCCTGAAGATTCTGTTGATGCAGAAATGAAAAGATAATGTATTTTCCACTGACAGTGCTAGACATGCAAAGACAGTCCTTTATGAAAATTAGCATAAAATGTGTAAAGACCTGCCTCAAGAGAACAGTATTACAATACTTCGAAATTTCACTCTGTTTTAATTTATGCAAACTTTCTGTTTACATAATGACAGATTGACTGGAAAGTGAGAAGAGACAGAAGAAAAGAGGGCATTACACAAATTTAAGGAAGGGGAAAAAGGAGGATCCAGGGAACTACAGACCAGTCAGCCTCACCTCAGTTCCTGGATAAATCATGGAGAAGATCCTGAAGGGATCTATTTCTAAGCACTTGGAGGAGAAAATGGTGATTAGGAACAGTCAGCACGGAGTCACCAGGGGCAACTGATGTCTGACCAATCTGATTGCCTTCTATGACGAGGTGACTGGCTCTGTAGATGTGGAGAGACTGGTGGATGTGGTGTACCTTGATTATAGCAAAGTTTTTGATAGTCTCCCACAGCATTCTCACAGGCAAGCTAAGGAAGTAGAGGCTGGATGAATGGACTGTAAGGTGGATAGAAAACTGGCTGAAGCATTGGGATCAGAGAGTAGTAATCAATGGCTTGATGTCTAGTTGGCAGCCGTTATCAAGTGGAGTGCACCAGGGTAGGTCCTGGGGCTGGCTTTGTTCAATGTTTTCATCAACGACCTGGAAGATGGCTTAAAGTAGACCCTCAGCAAGTTTGCGGATGACACCAAGCTGGGGGAAGTAGTAGGTATGCTAGAGGGTAGGGCTAGGATTCAAAGTGACCTACACAAATTGGAGGATTCAGCCAAAAAGAATCTCATGGGCTACGGACAGACATGTCTGACCTGCCTAGGCTGAATCAGTTTGTAACCATACAGATATCTGCTCTGGACTGAAAAAATGCTGGCACATGCCTGCAGTATCTCAGGCTAGAGCAGCGCTTCCATCCCTTCCATAGTGCTAAACTGAGGAAGGGTGTGTCCAGGCCCCGGCAGGACGCTCTGATTAGGGAGGGGTCCCCCCCTCCCCCCCGCCCTTGCTGGTCAGTAAGGGAGCCAGTGGGGATTTGGTTACACAGCAGGGAGCATTTATCATTGAATCATCAAAACAAAACGTTCTCTCATTAGAAGGAAACAAAAGAAGGAATGGAGGGACATTACCAGCTACCTGTTGATTAGCTCCAAAGAGCCCTAAGCAGCACTGTCCTGTATTCCTTGTCTCCCAAAGCATGGACCATAGCCAGCATGTGGTCTGCTAGCATCTAGCTAATGCTGAGAGGTGTCTGTGTAAGGCAGAGGGGAGGGGGGAATCCCTCCTTCAGCAGGGAGTGGGGGGGGAGAGAGGGAGGAGCAGGAGGAAGCCAGGCAGAGGCCTTGTACCTGCAGTCTCTGTCAGAGCTGCACCCAGGGAGAAGATGGGAGGGGCCAGCCTTGCTGAGTTGGAGCACAGAGCAGAGCCCCACCCAGAGTTGCAAAGCAACTGGGATGCTGGAGGATTCTGATTTAACTTAAACCAGGAAGGATTCTGGGACAGACATTGCATAAACCAGTTTGACCCAAATCAATTAAGTCTGATACTACATTCAACCAGGTTTATCTCAAACTGGTTTCAGCCATTTTCAAACCAATTTATGTGCACTGAACTTCTGTTCTGTTACAGTTTAAACCATTTTATGATCATATAAGCTGGTTTATGTGTAATGTCTGTCCCTAGCTATGAGGTTCAACAAAGACAAGTGCAAATTCCTGCACTTAAGATGGAAAAATCCCATGCACCAGTATAGGCTGGGGGCTGCCTGGCTGGTTCAGAAGCTCTGCAGAAAAAGACTTGGTGGTCACCATAGACAATAAGCTGAACATGAGCCAGCAGTGTGCCCTTGTTGCAAAGAAGGCTAACAGTATACTGGGCTGCATTGGTAGGTGTGTTGCCAGTGGGTCAAGGAAAATGATTCTTCCCCTCCATTCAGCACTGGTAAGACCACATCTGGAGTACTGTGTTCAGTTTTGCCCCCAGCCCCCACTACAGAAAGGGTGCAGACAAATTGGAGAGAGTCCACCAGAGGGAATAAAAATGATTAGGGGGCTGGGGCACGTGACATATGAGAAGAGGCTGAGGGTCAGGGATGAGAAGACTGAGTGGGGATTTAACAGTAGCCTTCAACTTACCTGAAGGGGGGTTCAAAAGGGGATGGAGTCAGACTGTTCTCAATAGTGGCAGATGACAGAACAAGAGCAATGGTCTCAAGTTGCAGCAAGGGGAGTTTAGGTTATGTATTAGGAAGAATTTTCTCACTAGGAAGGTAGTAAAACACTGGAAGAGGTTGCGAAGAAAGGTGGTGGAATCTCCATCCTCAGAGGTTTTTAAGACCTAGCTAGACAAAGCTTTGGCTGGGATGATGTAGTTGCAGATGGTCCTGCTTTGAGCAGTAGATTGGCTTAGATGACCTCCTGAGGTCCCTTCCAACCTTAATTATCTATGATTCTACACCATGCAATTACAAGAGCAAAATATATTCTACATACTGTGAATTTCAATACTTCATCGAAAACATCAATCTGGGGGCTTCCCATCAACAATACATCTAAACTATTTCAACTTAAGCTGTAATATTGTCTCCATGTAAACATTCTTTGAGTTGAATTCTGCTGAAAAGTATAACATGATTTCAATGAAGTTATTCTAGCTTCATACTGATGTGGGAAAAGAATCACCACTTCTCTCCGGGTATGTCTATACTGCATGTAGGCAAGACACCCAACCTTACTTAAAGCAAACTGGCTTGAATGCCAGGGGTAGTTTAGCTACAG